CCCCACTCCGGACACCGCCCCTGTAAGCATGTGATGGCTGGTGCCTTAATTCCCTCCGGTGCTTCAATGCCCTCTGCTGCTCCTCCCTCCTGCTGATCCTTCGCCCCTCCACTGCTGCAGGGTCACTGCCTCAACACGGACGTGACATGTGCTGTGGAGATTGTTGGCGCTTGCCGTTGGCAGGGAGGAATCGGTTTTGAGGCGCCTCAAATAAAGATTTGTGAGACGCCTCAAATAAAAGCTTTTGAGGCGCCTTAAATCAAAACTTCTGAGGGGCCTCAAAACTTCACTGCCTCAACACGGACATGACATGTGCTGTGGAGATTGTTGGCGCTTGCCATGGCCAGGGAGGGATGGGTATAAGTCGGATGGGCTGTTGGTGCAACCAGCACTGGAGGCTTGCCGAAGAGGCTTGCTGCCACATCATATCAATCCGTCCTTCGACTTTTGAGTCGACTTAAAAGTCAGCTCATATGTCAAATGGGAGGGATTGTTGGTGGAGCCAGCACTGGAGGCTTGTCAAAAAGGCTCGCTGCCACATCATATCAATCCGTCCTTCTTTGTCCTCTCTGCTGCATGCTTCGCGTTCCTTTTCCTTCGGGCAGGGACGCAGGCCAAACACAGGCATGGCATGTGCAGGAGAAGTGGTTGACTCAGCCAGCAACAAGAGGCACAGGGCCTCTGTGATTGTAGGCGAAGGTGGGTGAAAGGGGCGTTGATTGTGCTTTTAGACATCTCAGAATTGTGATTGTAAGCGAAGGTGACTCGGATTATGGTTGTGCTACTCCGAGAATTTTAACAAATTCTTGTGCCTGCAGGCTCTTTTTGGTAAAGCAATTGCTGGCCCTTATTCATAACTCGTCTTTAGCATTTGTCGCATACAGTCATTTCTTGCTGCCACGTGTTTGAAGAAGTGTTTTGAGACGTCTCAAAACACGTCTTTAGCACTTGTCGCATACAGTCATTTCTTGCTGCCACGTGTTTGAAGAAGTGTTTTGAGACGTCTCAAAACACGTCTTTAGCACTTGTCGCATACAGTCATTTCTTGCTGCCACGTGTTTGAAGAAGTGTTTTGAGACGTCTCAAAACACGTCTTTAGCACTTGTCGCATACAGTCATTTCTTGCTGCCACGTGTTTGAAGAAGTGTTTTGAGACGTCTCAAAACACGTCTTAAGCACTTGTCGCATACAGTCATTTCTTGCTGCCACGTGTTTGAAGAAGTGTTTTGAGACGTCTCAAAACACGTCTTAAGCACTTGTCGCATACAGTCATTTCTTGCTGCCACGTGTTTGAAGAAGTGTTTTGAGACGTCTCAAAACACGTCTTAAGCACTTGTCGCATACAGTCATTTCTTGCTGCCACGTGTTTGAAGAAGTGTTTTGAGACGTCTCAAAACACGTCTTAAGCACTTGTCGCATACAGTCATTTCTTGCTGCCACGTGTTTGAAGAAGTGTTTTGAGACGTCTCAAAACATGTCTTAAGCACTTGTCGCATACAGTCATTTCTTGCTGCCACGTGTTTGAAGAAGTGTTTTGAGACGTCTCAAAACACGTCTTAAGCACTTGTCGCATACAGTCATTTCTTGCTGCCACGTGTTTGAAGAAGTGTTTTGAGACGTCTCAAAACACGTCTTAAGCACTTGTCGCATACAGTCATTTCTTGCTGCCACGTGTTTGAAGAAGTGTTTTGAGACGTCTCAAAACACGTCTTAAGCACTTGTCGCATACAGTCATTTCTTGCTGCCACGTGTTTGAAGAAGTGTTTTGAGACGTCTCAAAACACGTCTTAAGCACTTGTCGCATACAGTCATTTCTTGCTGCCACCTCTCCCAGCTTCGTTGCGGGTGTCATTTCAACCGTATCTCCTTCTCCTGCCTCCTTTTCCCTTTTCGTCTCTCTGAGAGTACCATTCACTTCAAACTGCAACCAGTGTAGGTGCCACGGAAATCCTTCAACCTGCCACGGATATGTTGTTTCGCCATTCCCTTCTGCTCGATCCTTTCCCTTTTGCTTCTTTTTAGGGTACCACTTTACGGCGAGCTGCAGTGTGGAAGTGGCACGGAGAGTGTTACAAGGGAAATTCAAACCCGGTTACCAGGTAGTGCCATTGTGCTTAGGTATCATGAGCACTCTTTTAGCTCTGCGGGCATATCTTTTCCACGCTTCACGTTCAGCATTCCTTCTCATTCACGCTCAACATGTGCCTTGACCTCGTCGTCTCCTGCTTCCCCTGGAAACTGTTCCGCTTTGTCGAAACCCCTTTTTTTGCCCGAACCCTTGCAACATTTCATCTTTTGCTCGGCTGTGGCCCATGCAGACACCAGTCACAGCATATGGGGCGAGCCTGGTTCAGGAGATCCCAGGGGAGAAGGTGGAGATAGTGGATTTGGACAAGGAAGGATGGTTGGGGAGGTGGTTTAGTTGAAGTGACTTTGCGACAGATTTTACGGTATTTTCAGCCTGACACCAGTCTGGTGCAGCAGGCCCCAGGGGATAGGGTGTTGACAGTGATTCTGGATGAAGTGGTGTAGGCAGATGGATTGGTAGGGCTAATGCTGCTGGGGACTTGTGGATGGGGTGTGGGTAGTTGTCATTTGTGGTACGATACTCAGTGCTCACATGTACAGTACATCATCTGGCAGTTTGCAAATGTTCATCCTTCTCATCCAAGCAGCGTAAAAGCAGACTCAAGCGATCTGGTCTTGGTTGAATTGTAGGAACTGTATAAGCTTCTCTACAAAACATGAATGTGAGAGAGTCTACAGAGACAAAAACAGAGGAAAGCTGTATGCAGCCTGCAGGCATATTGTTTCTACTCAAAAGACGATTGCTGAATCCATCTCAACTGAACTTTATCTAAAACTTGCTTTATTCCCCTGGTTCCCCATCCAAATGTCTAGACAGTGTCCCTACATCTATCCCTACAGCCAAACTTCCTCCCCTTCCCCATTGCCTCTCCCTGTCTTATAACACATAGGTGAGCAAACACATTCCCCAACCATATGCTATCAAGAGCCTGACAGTTTGCTATCCAATAACCTCATCAACTGCCATGCAGACCCCCACCCAACCCCACCAGCTCTCCTGCAGCCATACTTTTCTGCTCTTCTCAAAGTTTGAAACATCTCGAATTCCACCAACACTATCCTCTTAGACCTCACCTCCGGCTCCTCTTCTCCGTCTCCCTCTCTCTGTCGTCCTCGTCTCTCTCCCTCACCCTCCCACGGTCCCTCCCCCGCTCCCTCTCTCTTTCACGCTCCCTGTCTTTCGCACTCTCCCGTTCTCTCTCCCTTTCTCTCTCCCTGTCCTTATCCCTATGACTATCTCGGTGCCTGTCCCGGTCTCCTTCTCGCTCCTTGTCCCTCTCTCTCTCCCCATCTTTACTTCTCTCCCGCTCCTCCCTATCCTTACCTCTCTCCCTATCCCTATCCCTTTCCCTATCCTTACCTCTTTCCCTATCCCTCTCTCTCTCCCTATCCCTGTCCTTACCTCTGTCCTTATGCCTATCACCACCCCTTTCATCATCCCTATCCTCACGATCCGCTTCCTTCAAATCCCTGTCCCTCTCCCTTTCCTTCTCCCTGCCCCTTTTCCTATCCTTCTCCCGTTCCCTCTCCCTGTCCTTATCCTTCCTACTCCTCTCTTCCCTCCCCTTCACCACCTCCCTATCCTGTGACTTAACACCCTCATCACTACCTGAGTCCCGCCCTTCCCCACTCTTCTCCCTCTCCTCTCTCTCCTTCTCCTTCGCCCTCCCTCTCTCACGATCCCTCGCCCGTTCCCTCTCCCTCTCCTTATCCCGCTCCCGCTCCCTGCTTCTGCTCCTGCTTCTGCTCCTGCTCCTGTTGCGTCCTCGTTTGTGCTTGCTTCCCTGCTGCTCCTGCTGCTCAGAAGAGGTCATGTGCCTTTTGCTCCCTTCACTTCCCTCCTCTCTTTCCTCCCCTCCTGCTGCTGCCACCCCCACCTCCTCCCTTCTCCTCCCTGCTTACCGTGAGAGGCAAATCAAGTCGAAGGTGATTGCAGCGAATGTAAGTGTAGCGGAGGTGATTGTAGGAAGGGTTGGGAGGGGGACGATGGGATCCAGTCGTGGTGAAGGTGGGTCGAAAGGAGAGCCACGGGTGGTTAGAACGGCCAAGGTGAAAAAAGAACATATCACAGAACCAGAAAATCCAAACACAAGATTTTGGAAGAAAACAAGGATAGAGATCCAGAGATCTAGGAAAAATACATCACTGAAGAAAGCAAGCATCAGTTGCGTACCTGGAGAAAGCAAGCATCAGTTGAGAAAAGCAAGCATCAGTTGCGTACCTGGAGAAAGCAAGCATCAGTTGCGTACCTGGAGAAAGCAAGCATCAGTTGAGAAAAGCAAGCATCACTGAGAAAGTTACCTGGAGTCCCAAGCGGTGCCCCATATGCAGCCAACGCTTGCCGCCCACTCGACGCCAACCGTCCAATCATGGGCGGCCACGTGCCAGCTGCCATTTCCTCTTCGAGCTTCTTCCTGTGCGCCGCAACCTTCACTTCCACCTCAAAAGCCTTGAAATTCTGAGCCTCTAATGCATCGCGATACTCTAATACTGCCAGCTCTAGCTTTCTCTGCTTCACCCTCCTCTCCTCCTCATCCTGCTGGTCATGAAGGTGCATCTGCCGGCTTCCCTGGATACCGCCTCCCCCAGAAGAGACGGAGTTTCGGTGGGCGGCGGATGTGCGTCGGGGCGGCGAGCCTTCGTCTTCGTCCGAGGAGTTGTATGAGACAATCGAGGCTGCTTTAAAGGGGGACGGAGCAGCAGCACCAGCAGAGCGAGAACCATCCACAGCGACACTCCCACCCACCGATTCCCTCCTCTTCTTCCCCTTCTTCCCTACGCTCTCATCATCATCCCCCTCCTCATTCCCCTCTTCATCCTCTCCCTTCCCTCCCCCCTCCTCATCCTCATCCTCCTCATCCTTATTCCACTTTGACTGAGGCAAACCGACTGCTTTCTTTTCCAACTTCAGCTTAACCGATTTGAGGAGAGGGCCCCTCTAGCTTCTCAAGTTTCTCCAGTTTGGATCCAAAGGCTTTAAGCTCTGGTGTAGGCAGGACAAATTTCTTTGGTAATGCAGCGCCACCACTCTCACCAGCAGCACCAGCTGAACCTGCCCCAGCCTTACCCCCGTCCCCACTCCCATCTCCCTTGCTCCCCTCTTTCTCCTCTTTCTTCACCTCAACCCATCCCGACCACCCCACACTCCCTTCCATTCTCTTCGCGATGCTCGCCCTCCGAGCCTCCGCCACAGCTTCGGCCGCAGCAGCCGCCGCAGCAGCTGCCTCTGCTTCGGCAGCCTTCTTAGCCTGTTCAGCAGCATCCAACGAAAGCAGCCGAGCCACCATGATAGGCACTCCACCTCGGGTTGATAAGCCGTTGTGCTTGCAGCGACGCTTGAGCTCCACCAATGGGAGTGCAAGAAGCTCCTTTCGGGCTGCCTCCTCCGGTGAGACTGGCACAGAAGCATCTCCTGCTGCTGCTGCTGTCTCTCCCTCTGCTGCTACCGCTGATGATCCTTCCCCAGAAGCAGCAGCAGTGTCAGCACCACCAACAGCACCACCAGCAGCACCACCAGCAGCACCACCAGCAGCACCACCAGCACCACCCGCACCTTGACTCGCATCCTTTGACCCACCAGCCCCATTCCCAGCCCCGCCTTGCTCCTCCACCTCCTCTTCATCCTCAGGCAAAGTATGAAACGGCGGCACAGCCGTCCCAACTGCCCTCAGAAACGTCATTCTAAGCCCGTTTAGGTACGCTTCGGAGAACAAAAACCAGTCGGCCCACACCTGAATCACTTTCAGGACACGGTCCTTAAGAGCCTCCGCAGTCATCCTACCCGAAACCGCGTTCAAACAGTCGTTAAAACTCTCCATCACGTCGGGTAAATACCCCTGGAAAGCCGTGCGGTAGGCCGACGCGTTCCGGACCGGTGCAGAGGAGTTGTGGAGGATGTCCGATACAAGCATCAGACGCGCGACTTTAAGGGGGATGGGCGTCTCGAGCAGAGTGAGCGACTCGATAAGCACTTCAACTATGTCGGTGGCAGCTTCTGCGTGGTCTAAGGCGAAAGCCATGGCGGTGCAGATGTCCTCCCTCTCTAGAGTGAGCCGCCTCAGCAAGTCCTCAAACTTGTCCCGCTGCTTGTCTGTCAGGGAGTGCTCCTGAGGGGGAACGGAGGGACAGGGGACAGGGGACAGGGGCAGGGGGGAGGGAAGGCATGAGAAGAAACAAACAACCAGCGGTTCAGAGCGGTGGAGGGGAGTGCGCGACTGTATGAGCACTTCAACTATGTCGGTGGCAGCTTCTGCGTGGTCTAAGGCGAAAGCCATGGCGGTGCAGATGTCCTCCCTCTCCAGAAAGAGCCGCCTCAGCAGATCCTCAAACTTGTCCCGCTGCTTGTCCGTCAGGGAATGCTCCTGGGGACACAGGGGAGGGACGGCAAGAGCACAAGGGGCAGAGCAGGTATTGATTAAAAGTGAGCCCCACTCGATAGAGTGAGTCGCCTCAGCAGGTCCTCAAACTTGTCCCGCTGCTTGTCCGTCAGGGAATCCTCCTGGGGACACACAGGGGACAGGGGGGATGGATGGCAGTAGAACAAACAGGAAATGGTTCAGAGTGGTGGAGGGGAGTGAGGAATTTTATCAGCACCTCAACCCACGGACTCACCACCCCACCAAATCACCACCACACTGACGTACCTTTGGCTTCCCTGCAGCATAAGTCGACCCGCCCTTGTCCTTGTCCAGAATAGTCGGCCCCACGAGCTCATCTGTCTTGGGCAGAGGGGGTGGAATCCACCTGCCGCTGCCTGTGATCATGATGTAGGGGTCCGTGCGCCACCGCTGCAGGGTGTCTCCCTGCATCGACACACACACACACAGATAGATGCACGAGACTGAGAATAGGGCCTGATAGAGGGGGAGGGATCCACCTGCCACTGCCAGATACCATGATGTAGGGGTCTGTGCGCCACCGCTGCAGGGTATCGCCCTGTGATGCACAAAGAAGGCAGGCAGGGGCCACAGCAGAATGAGTGAGATTCGAGCACTTACACAACACACTGCACAGCAACAACACACATGAGGAATCCACCTGCCGCTGCCAAATACCATGATGTAGGGGACCGTGCGCCACCAGCTGCAGGGTGTCTCCTCACCTGCGCGAATGAGATCTGGCGAGCCGAGGTCAAAGAGGAAGGAGAAGAGCGGGTTGCCCCCCTTGCCCCGCCGTGCAGCTTAGAGTGTGGCAGAACAGAAGGGAAGACGAGACACACTCAGAAATAAGCACCTACCTGCGCGAAAGAGTTACCTGGGCGAAGGAGAAGACGCACCACACATAGTAGGTGTGGTCGGGCGAGCCGAGGTCAAAGAGGAAGGAGAAGAGTGGGTTGCCGCGGCCGCACTCCATGATGGCCTGCTCCAACATGCACCCGTCGTCCACCCCAGACCGTACAGCACGCACAGCGCGTACAGCGCGTGCAGCACATACCACACCCAGCTACTCTATGGTGGTCACCATGCACCCGTCGTCCACGCCAGCCCGTACGGCACGCACAGGCTACAGCGCCAGCCAGCGCGCATACAGAGCACCAAGGACAAATCTCCGAGAAGGAGCGAGAATGAGAGGGAGGCGGGCGCTTACCTGCGCGAAAGAGAAGACGCGCCAGACATAGTAAGTGTGATCCGGCGAGCCGAGGTCAAAGAGGAAGGAGAAGAGCGGGTTGCCGCGGCCGCGCTCCATGATGGCCTGCTCCAACATGCACCCGTCGTCCAGCACGTACAGCGCCAGCGTGTCGATGACGTGGCGCTGATGTGGATCCTTGGGCGGGACTATCTTGATGTCTGGCACGTTGGGGGTGATGACCTGAGAGAGAGGGGGGGCAAAAAAAGGGGAAAAATGGGTCCGGAAGGGTGAAGAGGGGCGCGAAAGGGTTGAAGACGGGGCGATTAAACAGGAAAAGGTGAGAAAATCAAGGTTGTATGCCATAAGGAGCGCAAGGCGTTCGACGAGGAAAGAGAGTGACGTGAGACGAGATAGGTGAAGAAAAGCGACGTGGATTGAAGCGGCACGTCCCATGGACCGTGAATCTTCGCTGAAGACTCACCACCTCCACGTTCTCTACTCCAAGGCTCGCCATGTTAATCGCAGCAGCAGCAGCTGCAGCAGCAGCAGCGGCAGCAGCAGCAAGCGGGTCGGCACTGTTAGCAATAGCAGCGCTGTTGGCAGCAACAGCCTCTCCTAGAAACTCACCACTTCCGCGTTCTCTGCACCCAGGCTCGCCATGTTAATTGCAGCCGCAGCAGCAGCAGCAGCAGCAAGTGGTTCGGCACTGTTGGCATGGCCACCTAGCAGCCTAACAATGGACTGTGAACCTCCACTGGACACTCACCACTTCTGCATTCTCTGCTCCCAGGCTAGCCATGTTGATCGCAGCCGCCGCAGCAGCAGCAGCGGCGGCAGCAGCAGCAAGCGGGTCGGCACTGTTAGCAATGACAGCGCTGTTGGCAGCAACGGCCTCTCCTGAATTGGGTGGCAGCTCCTTGGGGCGAACTGCCATCTGGCCGGGGGGAGGCGCCGGGAGAGCAGACGCGGGCAGAGACACTGCTTTGCCCCACCCTATGCGGATCTCGTACTCATACACCACCATGCCTGGGCGTGCGTGTGGGAAGGGTGGAGAGTTGGGGATTAATGGCAAGGAGGTTGGAAAGCATTGAGTAGGCTCACAAGGCAGAGAGACGGCCTTGCCCCACCCTATGCGGATCTCATACTCGTACAAATCTCATACTCGTACAAATCTCATACTCGTACAAATCTCATACTCGTACAAATCTCATACTCGTACAAATCTCGTACTCATGCACCACCATGCCTGCTTGCGTCTGGTGGGATGGGGGAGAGGGAGGGGGTGGGTTTGAGTCGTCTCAAACTCCCTCGATTTCTTCCAGCCTCCACAACCACATCATCCAACTTCCACCATCCTCCACAACCTACACCATTCCCACCAGCCTCCACCGTTCCCCCCCTCAACCTCACGCATTCCCCACCAACCTCCAGCACTCCTCCCACCTTCCACCATTCCCACCATTCCCCTTAAATTACCACTTTCCACACACCCTCCCCCCCCCCTCCCCCATCTCCCAGCACGTACAGTCCATTTCGTTCTTGGCCTTGGCAGCATCAGCTCGCTTCATGAACGCCACAAAGCCGCAGTTGCCATTCTCTCCCCCCTCCCACACACACCATCCACCCTTCTGAACGTACAGTCCATTTCGTTCTTGGCCTTGGCAGCATCGGCGCGCTTCATGAACGCCACGAACCCGCAGTTGCGCTGCCGCCGGTGCTCCTCCTCTGTGCGCGGCCACATGATTTTCACACTCGCTATCGGCCCAAACCGCCCAAACGTCCTCAGCAGGAAATTCTCGTCCACCTAACGAGCAAGGGAGGGGAGCACAGGAGGGCAGGGATGAAGGGCACAGGAGGGCAGGGAGCGGGGTGGTTAGAGCCCTGTCGGTGCTCCTCCTCGGTGCGCGGCCACATGATTTTCACGCTGGCTATCGGCCCAAACCGCCCAAACGTCCTCAGCAGAAAGTTCTCATCCACCTGGCAGAGACCACATGGATGTTGGGTTGGGTGGGGATGAAGGGGAGAGGAGGTTGATGATAATGCATGGCTGGTCGCCAGTGCTCCTCCTCTGTGTGCGGTCACATGATGTTCACACTCGCTATTGGCCCAAACCGCCAAAACATCCTCAGGAGAAAGTTTTCGTCCACCTGATCAGGGATGCAAAAGGGAGAGGAGGAAGACAGAAGAGGAATGGAGGGAAGGAAGGGATAGCAAGGGTTAAAACCCCACGCGACCACATGATCCTGACACTCTCTATCGGCCCAAACCGGCCAGACGTCCTTATCAGAAAAGAATGAATTCAAACTAATGACATGCCACCGTTGCCCAAAGTCATATCACGTGAAATGTTTCCCACCGGATTTGAGCTTGGATGGAAGTGATTTAAATAGGTCGCAAAGGGTTCGGGGCGTAGGGGATGGGTTTGCTAAATGTCTCATGTATTGTGGCAGGCATTTGCTTGAACGATTTTTTGACACTCCTGCCCATTGGCACCACAAGTTTTCAAGTGTCATGGAAATGGTACCAACTTCCAAGGGGTGTCAAGGAAAGGGTCAAGCGAATGCCGAATACATACATGAGGCGTCCATCAAACCCACCCCCTACGCTTCCAACCCTCAGCGTTCTACTAAAACTACTTCCATCTAGTTTCAAATCAAGTGGATGACATTTCATGTGATAAGACATTGGGCAGCGGTGGCACGACACCAATGAGCAGGAAATTCTCGAGCTGGTCAAGAGGATGTGAGGGAAGGCCTGGGACTTGTGGGCGGATGGACGTGAGCGTAAAGAGCCGCAAGCACAAGGGAAGAGTGAAAGCACGACAAGACATCTCACCTCCATCCTTCACCACTTCTATCTTAGAACTCGCTATCATTATGTACTATGTTCTCACTCACTGATGACTCCCATCACCACCTGTTGCATGCCACACCCCAAGCCGTGGTGGGGCGACCCACTGACCACTCCTATCTAACAACTCATTGTTATGTACTTTGTTCTACTCACTGGCAACGCCTCCATCATCAACTGTTGCATTGCAAGCCACACCTCAGGCCGTGCTTCACGCCTTACCTTGGGGGAAAGGTTGCCGACATAAAGGTTGGTGGTGAGAGGGTCTCCCCCATCGTCGGTGGAAACGGTGGTGATGCCTGGAGGCGTGGCAATGAGAGGCGGCCCTGTGTCGAACTTGGACGGCTGCACGCATTGACAGCAAATGTATGGGATTTGGGGAAACAGGGGGGGGAGGAGGGTGAGAGGGAGAGGAGGGGGGGGGGGGGGGGGGGGGTCAGGGAGAGGGGAGAGATGGAGAAAGTCAGTGCAGTTGGAAACCAAACAGGGATGAGGGACAAGAGGCGAATGAATGAAATATATATTTAGGGCCCAGACACAACAGCTTGCGAAAAGAATATAATACTAAAAAAATATGGGAACACGGGATGGGGGGAGGGAGAACGAACAAGAGAAGAAGGGCTGCAGAACCCCCCAAGTCTAGATGACAGCAGCAGACCCTTGCCATGCCCTCACTCTTCCAATATACACGGCTGCTCCACATTGCCCCACATTGCCACACAGCAGCAGAGAAGGCACAGAGCACGGAAACTCACCCTCCTTCGAACCCCATCCGGAAACGGCTGCAGCAGATCCGTGCCCTCACTCCCCAGCAGCGACGGCTGCCCCTCAGTCCCATAAAGCAGCACCAGACAGAGAACACCAATACTCACCCTCCTTCTAACCCCGTCTGGGAACGGCTGCAGCAGATCCGTGCCCTCACTCCCCAGCAGCGACGGCTGCCCCTCGTTGCCGTACGGCTTGCCTGCTGCCCTTGATTCCGCTCGCTCCTTGAGCTCCTTCTCCCTCTGCTCGCGCAGCTCCTGCTCCTGCTTCAGCTCCTGCATGAAGAAATCGATGTTCCGCGGCTTCTTCTGCTCCTTCGCCTTTGGAACAGGCTCGGCTGGTTTCTCTGGTTCCTCCACGCCGAACGGCTGTGTAACGGGAGGGAGGGAGGGAGGGAGGGAGGGAGGGAGGGAGGGAGGGAGGGAGGGAGGGAGGGAGGGAGGGAGGGAGGGAGGGAGGGAGGGAGGGAAGGAGGGAGGGACAGAGTAAGGGAAGGAGGGAGGGACAGAGGGAGGGGAAGGGAGGCAGGGACGGAGGGAGGAGGAGGGAGGGAGGGAAGGAGGGAGGGAGGAGGAGGGAGGGACAGAGGGAGGGATGGAGAAAGGGATAGAGAGAGGGAGGAGAGCAAAGAGAAGGCGAGTAGTTTGGATGATGGTCTCAGAGGTTCAGACTAAAGAAAATAGGAGGAAAGGTAGGAGAGGGGACGGTCGGGGAGGGCGGTGGGAGGTGGTGGAGGAGGGTAGGGAGGACGGGGGGGGGGGGGGAGGGAGGGAGGGAGGGGAGGAGGAGGAGGAAGGAAGCGGAGGAAGCGAGCAAAAACAAAGCGAGCTAGAGGAGGTTTGGATGATTGTCTCGAAAATATATATTTACTGATAAGGACAAAGGAAAAAAGGTGGGAGAGAGGACAAACGGGGGGATGGGCGGGGAAGGGGAGCGGGTGTGAGGGAGAGAGCACGACCAGGGCCAACGAGGCTTGAAAGTGCCTTGAAAAGGGAAAAAGGCATTGAAGACTAGGAGAAAATTTCTGAAGAGGTGGGTAGGAAAGTTGCTGTGCGCTCACTCGATTGATTTGGCACTCCCTACGTGAACTTCGAAGCGCCATGATGGGCTCAAATGAATGAGCCGTAACTGAATTTTGACTGGAAACGTGAGTTCAAAATGACAATCCCATGGTATGGTTGAAGTATCCCCCACACCCACCCGCGCGCCCACCCGTGCCCCCACCTGCGCCCCCACCCGCAAGCCCCCACCGTGCGCCCCCCCCAACCCCTTCCCCCCCCTCCCCCCCCCCCCCTGCGTCCCCTTTCCACTTTAGATCGGTAACCATATTTGGGGATATTGAATTTATCGCCCCCAAGCCCCACAGCCCCATCCCCACCCCCCACCCCCCACCCCCACCCCCCACCCTCACCCCACCCCCAACCCCCGCCCTCACCCCACCCCCAACCCCCGCCCTCACCCCACCCCCAACCCCCACCCGCACCCCCGCTGCAGTGCACCTACATTCTTGTCCTTGGATAGAATTCCCGCAAGTGGGCTTTGGGACGGAGGCGGCAGGAAGGACGGAACGTATCTGCCATGGATACATCAGCAGCACACACGCGATCGGAAGAGGGGCAAACGGAAGGAGCACCGGGGACACAGGGAGGGAGGAACACGGGAGGGAGCGAGACAAAACAGGACGCGGAAGGGACAGGGAGGGGGGAAGAGGGGGGAAGAGGGGGGGGCGGTGTGGAGGAAAAGGGGGGGGATAGGGAAAATGGTAGGCCAAGACGGTAGCGGGGCAGGACGGGGAAGAGTGAGGGGTGATTAGGGTACGGAAAGGGACGGAGACTAATGTCATCTCCAAATCCCTGCCACAAGAAACATCACCAAACGATCATTCCCATCGACCACCTCTGAACCGTCACACTAACCGGACCCCCTCGACAGAAACGAGCGGATGCGAAGACAACAACGAAATGGATCCGCGAACTCGACAGGGTAAATCTCCTCAGAGAAAACCGTCGTATGAGCCTTCCAGGGGAAATCGCATTGTCCTAAAGGTCTCCAGGCCTTTCCGATCTGATATCTGATACGATATGATATGATATGATATGATACGCTGTGGGAAGAGGAATGTCGGACAGGAGGAGGCGCCGGTAGGCCTCTCACCTCGCTGTGGCCTTTTTGGAAGCGCTTCCAGGTTCTGCAAAGGAGATATGTTCGGCATAAATGGGTACATCACAGCCTATTAAAATTAAGAACGGATCCTCCTTCAACGAGTTAGTCGCAACCTCTAGCGACAAGGGAATTTCGAAAAGAAACCCACTTGATATTAAAGTCTCCCGCGAAGAGGAAGCTACCGGGTTATGGAGGGCATTGGCGTGATTATAACGAAATAAGAAAGCAGGTAGGCAGCGGAGAAGAGGATAGACGTGATGGGATGCAAAAAATTCCCCAATAAAAAATCCAGCCGCACGAAAAAGGGTTGAAAGCCGCATCAAGAGATGCTTAACTAAGCAGCTGTACCTTCCCCCGGTGTGTCGTGCTTGGCGTTGGGGTTGATGGTTCCTCCTCGCACAAACGCCTTCGGTTTCTTATCGTCCACTTTAAACGACTCGACGAATTCATCGTAGACACGCGCCGCCTCCTCCGCTTCGCGCTGCAAGACGAAACATTAGAGTAACGGAGTGGTAAGTGGTTGGAAAAAAATGTTACGGTCCCACATAAAAACAGGAACAAAATGGTTCTGAGCTGCAATTGTCCGAAGGCTGGAGCAAAGAATCGAGACCTAAAACATTAAGGACGCAAAAGAGATTAGTATAGAAACGGGGAGAAACCATCGCAAGTCCACCGACAGAGGTGACTTGCCTTCTTTTTCGCCTCCTCCTCGCGATGCTTCTGAAACGGAGTTTTCTTCTTCGATAACGAAAACGCCTTCATCGTGGCTCAGCGAGCGGCTCAATTCGTCGCATCAATCAACAACTAACGCAGAAGGAGCCTGATCTCTCATACATTAGTGGGATGGACAGGCCACAGAGCAAGCCTTGACTATGTGACCTGATTCACTCACACTATCATGTGATGTGAGTGGGGCCGATTGCTAGTTGCTGAGGGGAAATACCTTGCTCGCACGCGATTGGCTGGGAAGAACGTCTTGGGGATGGTTTTCCTCACCACCTCGATTGTGTCGTTTGTGAGGTGAACGGTATCGCGAATGAGGATGGGTTTGGTACAGTTTAGATGATGCATGATCCATCCTAAAGAAACTTGATGTCATGTTCATTCATAGCAAACCATAATCTCCCTTATGTAGACCCACCGGAAAGAGTCTCGCGGAAGTCCTTGGGGAATATAAGTGCTAACTGTACATTTGATACACAGGTCATACTAAAGACTGGCATAACAAAGATGGGTTTGCAGTAACTGCTAGAGAGCGCCAATGAAAAACTATCTACAACTTCTCTTTTTTATTTTTATTTTTTCTACAACTATCTACAACTTCTCTGTGGTAGAATGTACGCAATAATGAGAAAGAGAGGGCTTGGAGTTTGAATAACATTTCTGTTCTTAGTGGCAAATGTGTGTTTCCGCACATTATGTGCCTTCTACTGGGGTGGCCATCTGATCGTGTATCGAAGAAACGAAACTGTGAAGAGCAGTGGTGGAGCATCGAACCGCACATCACTGTACAGTTCGTGTGTACTGTAACATACAAAAATGGCAGAACCGTACGAAAATGCCAAACCGCACATCACTGTACCGCGACTCGGATTGGCGGGACAAAGGACCGAACTGCGAGATTTTGTTGACTGACACTGTTCCTTGTGCGAACGAAGAAGCTCCAAGAAACGTGAACATGATTTTTGACTGAGACGATGCCCTGGGCAGGAATTATTTGGTGGTAATGGAAGTTCAACAATACTTTTCCAGCTTCTGCGAGGAGTCTTTGTATTGTTTTCCTGTTTGGTGACTACAAAGTACAAAGTATTTGGGGACCACATATTCAAAACTGTTCCTAGTGTCAAAATTGTGTTCTCAAGCAACGAAACTTGAGCTGTTAACAAGGACAAAGATTTCAGTGAACAGCGGTGGTGTGGAGCAAGAGCATCAAACCGCACATCACTGGACAAATTGATACAGTACAATAATAGCAGAGAACCGTACGAAAATGCCAAACCGCACATCACTGTGCAGTGAGAAGGCCTGGCGGGACGCAGGGCTGAGGTGCGAGATTTGGTTTGACTGACACTGTTTCTAGTGCGATCCGAAAAGCTCCAGAGGGCGGGAACATGATTTTTGACTGAGAGCGTTGCCCTGGGCAGGGTATTCTTCCAAGGTACTGTAGTGAATATTCTCTTGTTCACTGTTGCGCGGAGTCTTGGTGTTGTTTTCCTGTTTGGTCACCACGAAGTGCGAAGTACAAGGGGACAACTTCTTCAAATTATAGCCTGTTTCATACAACATCAACGTCACAAAACTAGACTTATATTTCAACGTACAAACAAGGTGGTGTTAAACTACAACACCAAGGAAAATCCTGAGTTACCAGGTCCTTCGACGCTGCTCTTCGGCTGAATCCGCCACTTCGGTCTTCACCCCTCTTGGCCGCTAGGAGCAAGCTCCTAGCGTTTAACCCGTACACCGCGTTGAGGTGGGGGCTATTCGTACGGGGCACCTGTGGGAAACAGGGGCAAACGTTTTAGATTGTCCCGCCACCGGGCAGAGAACCACCTCAAGTATCCAGATGTCAGATGTCAGGATGAAGGCGCCTCGAGTCGGGGATGCTTCAGCGGCCTCCCTCCACGAAACCTGCGCACTAAAGGCACGAAAAACCGTTAGTGAAGCTGAAAAAGGTTGCTTGAAAACAAGTGCAAAATAGCAGAAAGACAAGATATCACAACAAAGCGCGAGAAAGCACAATAAAACGCGACAAATTTTGAGAGGCTTACGGTGTGCTCCGTAGTTTCAAGAGTTTCTCAAATTTAGTCACAAGTTAACTCAAGAAGTGTGACTTTCAGAAAATTTGCTCACGGATACCCACATAATGTTCAAAACTGGTCCTGCGGGGCTAACTTTTCGAAGCGTGTCGATGTCCGCACCAAGAAATTTTTGACGGCGCAGAAAACATAAAACCCTTAGGAAACCAGGACACATATGCGGGAGGGCTAATCCCTAAACACGGGGCCCTTCGTGTTTAGGGTTGAGCCTTCCCGAAAATGTGTCCTGGTAGCCAAGGAGTTTTATGTTTTTTACACCGTCAAAAAAAATTTGGTGTGAACATGGACACGTGTCGAAAAGTTGCCCCGTTGTAGCAGTTTTGAACATAATGCAGGCCTCGCGTGAGCAAATCTCCAGAAAGTCGCACTCTCTGAGTAAACTTGCGGCTGAACTTGAGAGACATCAGAAACTAAGGAGCTGGATAAAAACAAGAGCAAAAAGAGCAGGTAAAGCAAAGACAAGAAATCACAACGAAGTGCGAGAAAGCACAATAAAGCGCGATCAAGTTAGAGAGTCTCACCCGTGCTTACATTCTTCCAGCTTCAACCTCTGTCCCTCCTCCTTCGTTGACCTGCACCAAAGAGGAAGAAACAGAAAGCGTTAGTAAGACTGACGAAAACAAGAGCACGAAGAACATTAAATGCAAAGATGACAAGAAAGCACGACAAAGAGCGACAAAGCACAACACAGGTCGAGAGACTTACTGGTGCTTGCGTTCCTCCGTCCGTTGTGCTCCCGTCCGTTGTGCTCCCGACCGTTGTTCTCCTCCTCCGTTGACCTTAGGAGGGAAGAAACAGAGAGAGACGGAGAAAGGAAAGAATGATAACACCCGCGGCCTCCCCACGCTTAACCTGCAGCAAAGAGGAAGAAACGAAAAGACGTTAGTAAACGTGTCAAAGAAATCAGCAAGAAGCGGAAACGAAATAAAGCTCGAAATAAAGCACGACGAAAAGCGCGACAGAGCTCGAGAGACTTACAAACGGTTACCTTTGTAGCCACGATCCGCCGCGCCTTGTGCTCCTCCGCCGCTTCCTTGGGGAGGAAGAAGAGAGAAGATAAAAAGAGGTGAAAACACCTTGCGTCCTCCTCGACCGTTGTGCTCCTCCTCCCTTGGTCTGAAAAGACGAAAGAGAGGACGAGAGGAATTAACCGCCTCGCTTGGGTGCGAGGACGTGAGATGCGCCTCTCTCTTCGACGTGAAGTCGTTCCTCGCCGTGAAGACGCCAGGGAGGCCGCGTGAAGACACGCCGACGTCAGCCGGCGGAGGGACGCCGACGAGATGCCGCACGGACGGCGTGCAGATCGCGACGCCATGACGTTGTCGCGACGCCAGCCGTCATGTCTTCTGAGGTCTTCGCGTTAAGGAGAAGCGTTGAGGACGATATTCCTGTAAATGGTAGGAACAAATTTGATTAGGCCCGCCGATAAAAAATAAATCAAAGCACGAAACCATTATCCTGGTTGATCGCGGCGCCTTGGATTCTTCATAAAAATAATGGCAGCAGTCTTGGACCGTCTTCAAACGTCTTCAAGTCACGGCAGCGCTCAGACCTACTCAAGCTGAGGCTAGTAATCACGTTCTGAGAAGGGAGGCGAGGAGCACCATCGAGGCACATGAATCAGCCAAAAGCATGTAGCATAGCGTGCGCTGCTAGCCTATGCTGCGACTCTGCGCTGCGACTTGCGCTGCGACGCTGCGACGCTGCGCTGCGATGCTGCGCGCCTAATGCTGCGAACCTACGCGCGACGCTGCGAGCGCACACACGCTCTGCTGCATGCCTTTGGCTGACTCGGGCTTTCCGGTGCTCCTCAGGAGAAAATATCGTCGACGATATTGAGATTTTCGACTGAAAGAAGTTGGAATGGACATTTAGTGGCTACTTGAGAGAATCAGTTGGATGGATTTGGGAGAAGGTTGTGTGAGAGGTGGTGCGCGAGTCAGTTGGATGGAATCTCTGGTAAGGATGGGGATCGGGAATCGAGGGTGGCAGATTGCCGCCGCTAAAATCGAACGGCCTCGATGTAATCTCGTGCTATCCGCCGACGGCCATATCATCAGCCCAGCATATTTTGGCGTCTCGGAGAGTCAAAATGACTCGGGTGATATGATGGGAAGTACTGGTGCCTGGATTTGTGAATGTTTCTCGAGAGGTGTGGCGGTGCAGCCAGTGCGAATCGCGGTCGATAAATTTGAAATCATGGGGATTGTGAATCGAGGGTGATCAAATGCCGCCGCTATATCTGAACGGCGTCGATGTAATCTCATGCCGTCGGCCGATGGCCGTGCGAGACGCCAAAATCACCAGCTCAGATCGTTTGGCGTTCAGGAAAGTCAGAATGATTGTGGTTATGCGTGCGAGTGTTGAATTGAATGTGCCTCAGAGCGGTGTGGTGTGATGCTGCCTGTGCGAATCGCGGTCGATTCTGAAAGTCGATTTTGAAAGTTGTGAATCAGGGTGGCAGATATGCGCCGCAATAAGGTAACGACTTGGATTGAAGAGTGAGACCTCTGACGACAGGCGGCCAGACCGCTAACTCGACTGGCGCTTGTGATGTCAGAGAAAATTGGTTCGGCTTGGATTGGTGTCGGCTTGGATTGGTGTTTAGAACGATTGCCGCGGGGAAACAATTGCTGTGCGGATACCCGTTTGTAGCTGTTCTAGTGTTTACAAAACTGTATTTTGCTGAACACTTTCGTGCGTATCTGAGGTTCATTTGATTGCGTTTTGCTGTGCTTATATACGAGTGTGGTACAGATAGGGTCAGCCTTACCAGGAGGTTCAGAGACACGGGCAGGTTAGTAGTTGCCTGGACATAATGTTTTGCGTGAGTTACGGGACGGCAACAGCAACTTTTTGACATTCCTGCTGCTGTGAACGAGTTAGGCCCTTGCTGACTCAGAGTTCGGGCAGCTTAATTGGAACTTTCTGGATGGAAAACTC